CGGGTGCGCCCGGGCCTGGGGCGGGCTGCGCGGCGGCTGGTGTCTTGGCTTCTGCGGGGCGGTGCCTGTTTGTCCCTTGCAGCCAGCGAGTCCGTCCGGGCTTCTGGACTTGGTTATTCGCGTCCTTGCCTTCACCCCTGTGGGTCGACCTACATTTGTGTTTACGTGCATGGTTTATTTTTGTTTCTGGAGAGTTAATTCCTGGAAGAATAGTAAATTTGCCTGATCTCATCTCGCTAATGTCGAGGCCCGCCCCCTTCTCTTGGCAGCGGGGCCGGGGCCACCATGGCGCTGTCCCCAGGGGCAGCTACCCTCCCGCGCACACTGCTGCTCCTTCCAGCCCTTCTGAGCTCAGGTACACCCCTGCTCAGGCCTTGGTCAAGCACTTCTGGGGTCATACCTTCCCTCCCCTCCTCGCCTGCCCCTCGGGTTGGGCAATCCTTCAGGCCCTAGGCACCAGAGCTGGGTTTCCCCTGACCCACCTACCCAGGATCCTACCAGTCCCTGGTGAAAGAACCCGGGTGCTCTGTCTCTCAGCCTGCTGCCCCTCTGTAACTGAACTGCATCTTGGTCACAGACCAGTACCAACCCTACCCAGAACACCCTGTCGTGTTCCAGGTTGGGGGGAGTTGGCACCACAGATCGATGGCCAGGCCTGGGCTGAGATGGCACTTCGGGAGAATGAACGCCACCCTTTCACGTGCCGAGTGGCAGGGGTGTCTGGCACCCCCCGATTGGCCTGGTACCTGGATGGACGGCTGCAGGAGGCCAGCACCTCAAGACTGCTGAGTGTAGGTGGGGAGGCCTTCTCTGGAGGCACCAGCACCTTCACAGTCACTGCCCAGCGGTCCCAACGTGAGCTCAACTGCTCCCTGCAGGACCCGGGCGGTGGTCAGCCAGCCAACGCCTCCGTCATCCTCAATGTGCAATGTGAGTGTCCCCAAGGTGGGCAGGAAGAGAGGCTCTCTGCTCTCTGCCCCAGCAGCCACATAGCAGATGGCCTAATAGGACATTTAACAAACATTTAAGCACTTTGCAAATATTAACTAACTTTAGTCCCCACAATAATCCCAGGAGGTAATTCCTAATGTTATCCCCACTTCACACATGAAAAAGCAGCAGAGAAGTTAAGCAGCCTGGCAGAGTCATACAGCTGGTAGGTAGCCCAGCCAGTGTCCGATCCGTGCATATTGGCTCTAGTGTTCATACTCTTGATCACTAGGAATGGCTGCCTCTCAGGTGGACAAAGCCACCCTATTTCCTAGTGTCCCTTGAGAAGTCCCTCTGGGTTTGGAAATAAGGACAAGGAGTGTGAGGAGCTGTGGTGAGAGCACATTGGCCTCTGCTTTGCACCAGTTAAGCCGGAGATTGCCCAGGTCGGGGCCAAGTACCAGGAAGCTCAGGGCCAGGGCCTCCTGGTGGTTCTTTTTGCCCTGGTTCGTGCCAACCCACCTGCCAACGTGACCTGGATCGACCAGGATGGGCCGGTGACTGTCAACACCTCAGACTTCCTGGTGCTGGATGCCCAGAATTACCCCTGGCTCACCAACCACACTGTGCAGCTGCAGCTTCGCAGCCTGGCACACAACCTCTCCGTGGTGGCCACCAACGACGTGGGGGTCACCAGTGCCTCGCTTCCAGCTCAAGGTGAGCGTGGAATCTCAGTACAGAAATGGGAGCACTTGTCCTTTGGGTGAGGCTTGTGAGTGAGATGTCCCCAGCCACCTTGGGCGAGGACAGAGTAGTTCCTGTGGCATCTCAGAGGCGGGGGTCCTGCCTACTTGGAACCTAACCAAAGGACCACCTGCAGGACTCCTGGCCACTCGGGTGGAAGTGCCACTGCTGGGCATCATTGTGGCTGGAGGTCTATCCCTAGGCACCCTGGTGGCATTCAGCACCTTGGTGGCTTGCCTGATCTGCAGGAAAGAGAAGACCAAAGGTAGGGCCAAAGCGGGACGGGGGGAGGGGGAAGTGGGGATGAGGTCAGGGTGAGCAGCAGGACAGAACATAGGGCTGGGCAGAACAAGACATCTCTGACAAGTGGCAGGACAAGTGTTCCTGGGTGTGGCCATGGGTAATTGTGTGCATCTCAGGTGGCAGGGCCAGGCATTGGGAACAGCATTTCTGGTCCCACAGCCAGGACTGGACATTTTGAGAGGCCCCTTGCCTGAGGGTCCTGGGTCTGAAAGGGCAGGGAGCACAGGCCAGAGTGGGTGGGCACACTGAAAACTGGTGCGGTTTTTCTCCTTAGGCCCCTCCCGGCGCCCATCTCTGCTCTCTAGGTAATTTTCTGGGGCTGGGGGGCTGGGCTGAATGGAGGTGCAGCTGCCGCTAGTTCTGGGACCAGCCCAAAAGCAGGACTCTGCCCGCTGGAGCCAGGGCACATCCCAGGCTTTGTCCACCCTGTAGTGACTCCAACAACCTGAAACTCAACAATGTGCGCCTGCCACGGGAGAACATGTCCCTCCCGTCCAACCTGCAGCTCAACGACCTCACTCCAGATTCCAGAGGTACATCCAGGACCCTCTGTTTGCCCATTTTACCTTCAGAGGTGCTTCTAAGAAAAAATCAACCTTGATACTTAGGAGGGTCAAGGCCCCAACAGGCGCACTTCTTGTCCTGGCACCACTCCCTTTGTCACCCAACAGGGAAACCAACAGACCGGCAGATGGCTTGGAACAACAGCCGGCCAGAGCATCTGGATTCCGAGCCTGGTGGCCTCCTCACCAGCCGAGGTACCCTCCTCCTCCTCTCCTCGGCCCTTGTGCTTATGCTTCTGAGTCCCCTTGGGCAGAGAGGGGTCTCCTGACTGCCAAGGAGGAGGGCTACCAAGACTCCTGGGCATCTCTGACCCTGCAGGTTTCATCCGTCTCCCTATGCTGGGCTACATCTACCGAGTGTCCAGTGTGAGCAGTGATGAGATCTGGCTCTGAGCTAAGGGTGAGATGGAGGGTGCTGTGGCCCTGGGCACCCTCCCACTCCTCCAAGGCAATCTGCGGGCCATGCTGCCAATGAGAAGATGCTGCTTCCACTTTCGCTTGCACCGCTGGCTGGGGTGCCCTCTGTCATCCATGTGATGGGTTCACTGGTATCTGACCCTGAGGGCGCCAGGTACCCTTGGCAAGGCTGCCGGCTAGACCCAAGCCCTTGTTCTAACTCAGGTTGGGGGCCTGCCTGTGATGCCTGTGCCCAGGCAGATAAAGCTCTTTGCCCGTGTGTTCGATGTCATCTGGCACCTAAGTGTGGCGTGGCCCTGGTGACCTGGGCCCGCTCTGCCTCACGCCGGTACTCAGCACCTCGCAGGGCAAGCTTGGGGGCATGCCTGGGGCGGGGCGGGGAGGGCCCTGCACGCCTTGGATTTCCTTCCTGTGCTGTGTAGCTTTGTTCCCTCAGGGAAAATTTAAGACCCTGCTAGCTGTATAGAAACAAAATGCCCTTTGCACAGGAACCGACCCCTGGCCCAGGGACATTGGCCAAGCACAAACTAGTCCCTTCCGCGGATTACCTCTGCACCCGCTGTCCCCACCTTCTCTTGGGCATCATAGGTTATACGTTGGACCTTTACCACTCCTTTGTTGGGCACTAGACTTTCCCATTGGCCTCTGGTGGTGCTAGTGCCTGTGTCAGCACAAATCAGGAAGAAGGAGGGAGGTGAGAAGCCTGGTGGCATCCAGGGCAGCATGTAGCTATGCATCTTTTTCTTACAGTGTTAGCACTTTAAGCACATGCCCTGGGGAGGGGGTGAGTGAGGGTCCCAGGGCCCTCTCTGTGCCTTCCCCAAGCTTGGCCTTCCTGTGATTCACTGAGGACCTTGAGCCCCTGGGGTTGATGGTTTCCCTCTCAACACATCTCCCCTCCATGGGACCTCAGCTCTGACCAACCCGTAACTACCCCGTCAGCGGGAGGCCACTCTTCCTGTCCTAGCCTCTGTTCTTCAGGGGATGTTCATAGTGGCACATAATTCAACAGTGCCAGAAGCTTTCGGAGGACGTGGAGAAGGAGGGAGACCACCCCCCCAAAATGACCTAAGGACACTTCACAAAGCAACATGGAAATGACTGCAAATTAATTTAGTGCGGAGTATATTTTTTCCTTGTTACCTTGTTTGTAATTTTTCTCATGTTACAGCCTAGGACAGTCCTGAGCACACAGTAAATTCAATAAACTTAGCTGAGTGAATGTTCCATGTGTTTCATTCCTTCAAATAGGCTTCTTAATGAAATCTTTTAAATCATGCAGTAGGGAAAATGCAAACACGTGTACCCACCATTCTGTTGAATCTTAACACTCTATTTGCTTCAGATCTTTTATTTTTATTTATTATTATTATTTTAATCCTCACCTGAGGATATTTTTTCCATTGCTTTTCAGAGAGAGTGGAAGGGGGAGAAAGAGAGAGAAACCTGGATGTGAGAGAGACTCATTGATTGGTCGCCTCCTGCACACACCCTGACCAGGGCTGGGGATCAAGCCTGTAACTGAGGTACGAGCCCTTGGCCAGAATTGAACCCGAGACCCTTCAGTCTGTGGGCTGATGCTCTGAGTTAAAGTGGCTAGGGCCAGGTCTTTTATTTTTAAAATAAATAATATTGCCCTGGCCAGGTAGCTCAGTTGGAGCATCACCCTGATACACCAAGGTTGCAAGTCCAGTCTCCAGTCAGAGCACGTGCCCGAACGAGCTGATGAATGCCCAACGGACAGCAAATCCATGTTCCTCGCTCCACCTCTTTCCTCTCTAAAATCAATCAATAAAAATAAACAATATTTCCCCGATCACACTGTTTCCAGTGGCAGGGATGGCGTTTTCTATTTCAGGACTGCCAGGTGAGGATCATAGATACACCCGGCAACGGAGTCTGTTGGTCGCTGTCAGTGGGCAGACTCCCCACTCGACTGTGGCGAAGCAACACTGAACACCTTTGCCCTGACCAGGGGGACAGAAGGCTCAGACTGCGCTGTGATTTCCCCCCCAAAATGGGGATCATGGTGGGGGGAAAGGCTAGAAATGGGATCAGATTTATAGTCTACCTTTTTTAGTGACAGATTGCCTTAGGCTGCATAGCTCTGGGTTCCAGCCAGGCCCTTTCCTTGCATTCACCTCCCTTGTTCAGTCTTTTCCTCCATGGGAGTGGCTAAGGGAGGAGCTTGGTTCCCGCCTCTACTGATACTGCTCTTAGTTCCTTCATGGCTCCAGAACTGAGGAGCCAGGGTGCCCTGCTGTCAATTCTGCTGACCTCTCAGCCACTGCTCCCTCTGGGAGGTGCTAGCTCTCCTTCCTGGGCGCTTCTTAGGCCAGGCTACAAGCCCTGGCCTCTCCTGTCCGTGGCACTCAAGGTCTTATGTGAGCAGAAAAGTTTGCTCTCCTGGCAAATCTCCCATCCTTCCAAGTGTTGGCTCAGGGGGTGGACTTTCTAACTAGTGCCCCAATTCTCCATACATGTTCCTTGGATCAGAGATTCCTTGTACCTTTGTTGAGTCAAAAAAATCCTTGGAGAATTTGATGAAAGTTAACTCTTTTCTGAGACAAATTCAAAACAAAACAAAACAACATGCTCCTTACGCAGGTCAAAACCCATCAAATCACAACATGGATGAAACTTGAGAACATGATGCTGAAGAAGCCAAACCCCAAACTCCATGTATTCTATGACTCCATTTACATGAAGTGCCCAGAACAGGCAAATCTACAAGACAGAGGGTTAGTGGCTTCCAAGGATTGGGAGAAGGGAAGGACGGGGAATGACGACTAATGAATATGGGGTTTCTATTTCTGGTCCAGAGCTCCAGCCCCACCCCGCACTCTGCGGCGCTCGGGGCACGTTCACTGGGTGCAGGCTCCAGCCCCCGCCCTGCTGAGCTCCGTGCAGGGACACTGGGTGCGGGGCTCCAGCCCCCGCCCTGCTGAGCTCCGTGCACGGACACTGGGTGCGGGGCTCCAGCCCCCGCCCTGCTGAGCTCCGTGCACGGACACTGGGTGCGGGGCTCCAGCCCCCGCCCTGCTGAGCTCCGTGCACGGACACTGGGTGCAGGCTTCAGCTTCCGCGCAGCCCCAGAGGAGCAGGGCTCACGCGCCGGGGGTTTTCTCTGCGTCTCTTCCTCCCGTTGGACCTCCAGACAGCTCTTCTCAGCCACGTCTCCACCATCCATCTATCCAGCAAAATCAGAGTCAATAGTGTTGACGACGAAATTAGCTGCTCTGCACCGATCCAGGCTTCGTGAAATGGACTTTTAAGACCTTGGATCAACTGACTGAGAAACTACACAATGAATGGATCACGGAGAAAGCCAGAGGCCCCAACACGGGCAATTCCACGTGCGCCACGGGGTGCGGCTCCAGCAGCGCGCTTTCCGCGTTTGTTCGAGGTCCTGCGAAGCTCACCCTCAGGGCCCCCTGGCGTGGGCGGGTCCGCGGCCTCGGGCTGAGCCGGCAGTGACCAACTGCTCCCCCTTGGGGCGCCACGGGGACCCCTTTCTTAGCACTTGACCTTTGTCGCCGGTCCCAAGGCAGCATCACNTCCGCCCACGGGCAGCGCGGCGCAGAAACACCCGCGGAGCGCGGCAGGCGCGCCCGTCCGGAGCCGCCGGAGGATAGTGACCTGCGTGACCAAGATGTACCTGGTTCCTGGACTCACTGTGGATAAAGGAAAACAGCCAGACTAAAGCACAGAAATAGCTGACATCGGGCTGACTTCAGTTTTGTAAATCAGGAAAGGCAAGAAGCAATGATTCTTATGCAATCATACTTTTGCATCAGCAATTGTCACAGCAGCCTTGGAAGTAGGAGATAAAGGGTTCGTGAATATCTTTCCAATGGCGAATAGACACTATTTGTAAAGAGTGCAGGAAAGGCTGGTCTGATGGTTGCACAGGAGGCCTACCCGAAGCCAAGCACCAACAGTGGGTATATCTGAACAACACCTTCACTGATAAGTGCAAAAATAACCCCAAGTCAGAGAATGAAAGTAGTATCAGATAAGTGAGCTTCATCTAACCAGATTAAAAGGGACCAAAGGAGGCACTTGCACGTCTCTGGTGTCCATTTCTGATGTCGACTCTTCCATAATGCTTAATGTTTATGACAACACAGAACCAGAAATCCTGACTCGTGAGAGGCTCATGAATGGCATCTCCAGGGTGTGGCAGGATTCCCCGAGGCCACACAGATTGGTATGTTTTAAATATGTTTTTATTGACTTGAGAGGGAGAGGGACAGGGACAGGGACAGGGACAGGGACAGGGACAGGGAGAAACATCAGTGATGAGAGAGTCATTGATCAGCTGCCTCCTGCACACCCCCTACTGAGGAAGGAGCCCAAAACCTGGACATGTGTGCTGACCGGGAATCGAACCTGTGACCTCCTGGTTCATGAGTTGACGGTCAACCACTGAGCCACACTGGCCAGGCTAAATTGGTATTTTTGTCCAGGAACTGAGCAGAAGTGTTCCATTTCCATTGGGCCAGTGGATATACAGATACACAACTTCTCTGTGTCACTATTTGGGAAACTAGTGGTTCAAAGTTCCCTCGATTACAGTGCATTCAAGTTCAGTGGCACGGTGGCATGCAGGACTTACAACGTGGGTGAGAGTTCTGCCTTTTTAAACTTTGTATTTAAAGAACAAATCCATTCTGCTTGTCTGACATCGTATTGAGGCTGCCGTGGTAGCAGCTGCTCTCGAGTTTCACTGTGCAGCCCGAGGACAAGACAGAGACCAGTGAACAAATTTGGGGCGAGGCCAAAAAGAAGTGGTCCAAAGGCAGAGTTCGGGACAAGCTCAATAACCTAGTCTTGTTTGACAAAGCAACTTATGACAAACTCTGTAAGGAAGTTCCCAACTATAAGCTTATAACCCCAGCTGCTGTCTCTGAGAGACTGAAGATCCGCGGCTCCTTGGCCAGGGCGGCCCTTCGGCCCTTCAGGGGCCCTTGGGAAAGGACTTAGTAAATGAGTTTCACGCCAGGAACACCA